TCTGAAGTACTCAAACTGGCCAATGGGAGGAATACAAGCCGAGCATGGCAACCTTGCCAAGCTGGGAAGACAAGCATAGGCATTCGGAGAGGCTAAAGCAGTTTGAACTTGCACAGCAGAGTCCCAGAGTGGACAATCCTATGTAGAGAAAGAGTTCCAGGAATCTGGAGATTGTAACTGGATACTAAGCCACATATACTAGTACGTAGAGTGAAACTCCATGAGGCTGGTCAAAGGACATGTGGGGAACTGCAAACTGAACAGTTTCTAGAGTCATATCGGTCTGGGAAATATTCGAGTTCCAACCAGCTACAGGAGAAAGTTCTCACTGAATTCATTGAATACAGACATCATTCATAGAGACCCCGGAGGGTCAGCCTAGTAGTCAGACTAAACTATTTTTAGAGTAAAGGCTTTTAAGACTCATCCTAACAAAGCATAACAACATACCTTGAAAGAGTTACCTTAATCTGCATGTAACATAACTGCCTGTCAGAACAAAGTCTAGTACTCAGGAAAAGAAGGCAGCAAAACCTAGCACTCAACAATGTAGAATTCACATGTATATTAAGACTCATAAATGACAGAGATAATATGATTAAAAGACAAGGGCTTTAGAACATCTATTGTAAATATGCTCAGTGACGTATAGGAAATCACTTAAATACTAAGTGGAAGAAAAAAAAATGACCAAACGGACCTGTAGAGCTAAAAAATTTAATGTGGCCCCAGCCTGTTTGGCTCAGTGGATAGAGCGTCAGCCTGCGGACTGAAGGGTCCCGTGTTTGATCCCGGTCAAGGGCACATGCCTGGGTTGCGGGCTCGATCCCCAGTAGGGAACGTGCAGGAGGCAGTCAATCAATGATTCCCTCTCATCATTGATGTTTCTATATTTCTCTCCCTCTCCCTTCCTCTCTGAAATTAATAAAAAATATATTTAAAAAATTTAATGTGAAATGAAAATTTTGCCAGATTAATAGCAGATTAGACTCTACAGAAGAACAGGTCAGTAAACTTGCAAGCATAGTAATGGATATGATCCACACTAAAGCACAGAAAGAAGGAAAAATCCCACTAGATCCACTCTGTCCTGTGGGAAAATATTAAGCAGTATGTGTAACTTTGTATGTGTAATTGTATGATTGAAGTGTCAGAAGGGAGAGGGTCAGGAAAGAAATATATTTGAGGAGATACTGGCCAAAGTTCTTTCAAATTTAATGACAACTATAAACTCACAGATACTCAAAAAATCACAAGCAGAATAAACATAAATAAAACCAAACCCAGCGGGGGGAGGAGGTAGGCTAGAAAGGGTCAATGTGGAGAAAAAGGGCACATCTGTATTATTTTCAACAATAAAGATAAATTTTAAAAAAGAAAGAACAGAAAACCAAATCCAGACACATCAACACCAAATTGCTGAAAACCAGTGGTAATGAAAAAATTGTTTAAAATTTCAGAAGGCTGGGTTGATACATCTAGGTTGATGACATTTGCTCTATTATTCTGCAAGAATTAGTTTGTTATTCACTCACTGACAGGGACATTTGGGTTTTTGCTTTTTGGTGATTATTAATAAAGCTGCTATAAGCATTCTTATACAGATAAAAAAATCCAGAGAATAACGATACATTAAAAATAGAAGAACAAAGGTTAGAATTGCCACAGTTTTCTTGTCAGAAACAAAATAAGCTAGAGGACATCAGAACATCTTTAAAGCCTAAGGACAAAAATGCCGTCAGTCTAGACGTCTGTATCTAGTGAAAATATTCTTCAATAAACAAACAAAAAACACAAGCATTTTCAAATACTAAAGCTGAGAAAATTTGTTTCCTGCAGATATGCACTTTAAGAAATATTAGGGAATCTTCTTCAGGCAGAAGGAAAGTGATACCAGATGGAAACTTGGATGTACACATAGGAATGAAGACCACTGGAAAAAGGAAACAGAAAAGAATTTTTCTTATTTAAAAAAATTTTTAAAGGTAATTGTTTAAAAGCAAAACAAACCTTGTATTGTGGAGTTTATAACACATCTAGATGTAAAAAGTAGGACAGAAATAGCATGAAGATTTGGAGAGGAGAAAACAAAAACCAGCATTTCCTTGACTCCTTTGCAAGTTGATTGGCTATATGACTGTGTTCTGGTCTGTGATTTGAGCAGAAGTGGCACATGCAATTCTCCGGAGATAGAAAGAGAGAAGGCATGTCTTTTATCTCTTCCTTCTTCCTGCCTGGGATTCTGACTGGAGCTCCAGAAACTTGGACAAAAGAGTGACCTTTGGATATTGAACAATGACTTTTCCTTCTTTGGATAATGAAAGAGCAACAAGATCTAAGGAGCCTGGTTCCCCAACACCATGGATTGCCAGATCAAACCTGGATGGGGCCTTCTGGATATTTTTCAGTGAGAAAAGAATTTATCTTGTTAAGCTACTGTTATTTGGAGGTTTTCTTCAACCCAGAGCTGAATGCAAGTCTATCTAATATGGTTAGCTATTTAAAAGAGTAATGCAATTGGTAAATCTCTGACAAGATGATCTAAAAAAAAAAAGAAGAGAAAGCTCTGGTCAGGTAGCTCAGTTGGTTAGGGTGTTGTCCTGATACACCCAACCAACTGAGCCACACTGGCCAGGGCTGGCTCTGACATTCTAAAATGACATTCACAATCTAGGTTGTGACTTTTGCTCTGTTATTGTTCCATCTTGGCATTGGAGAAAGGGTGCGCACGTATAATTTCATAGCAATCAACCATTAAGAAGGGCAGGCATAACTTCTGTTCTAAGCAGGAAGCCTGTTAATAAAGAAGAGAGAAGCCCCTGAACTAAATGACTCCATTTTGCAACCAGGAAGCAAGCCCTGGCCATTTTCTCATTCACTGGCAGGTGAAGTCTGCTCAGACTTACTAACCAAGGTCAGCTTTTAGAGCTTCTGGTAGGGCTGCCATGCATTTGGCACCAGGCTGTGAGCAGGGCTCCTGAGTGAAAACAGCTCCCCCTGCCCGCCTTTCAGAGCCTCTGTCTGCACAGTGCTGTTCTTTCCAAGGGCCCCTGTCTCAGGAGCACCTGAGACTCAGAAATTCACCAGGAATCCCTTTGCAGCATTGCGCATTCCAGATCCCTACGTAGAGCGGCCACACCCAGATTCCACATAAGAGCCACAGCAGACCAGCTCTTTCTGTACACGTTCTCCACCTTCCTGAGTGTTCCTGCCTCATGGCTGAGCCATGTGTCTACATTTGTAAGTGACATCGTTGGTCCCATATGAGAGGTAAGATTCTTCTTTCTTTTTTTAAAAAAATATATTTTATTGATTTTTTACAGAGAGGAGGGGAGAGGGATAGAGAGTTAGAAACATTGACGAGAGAGAAACATTAATCAGCTGCCTCCTGCACACCTCCTACTGGGATGTGCCCGCAACCAAGGCACATGCCCTTGACTGGTATCGAACCTGGGACCTTTCAGTCCGCAGGCCGATGCTCTATCCACTGAGAAAACCGGTTAGGGCAGATTCTTCTTTCTTAAAAAAAATTTATTTATTGATTTTCAGAGAGAGAGAAAAAGGAGGGGGGGGGGAGAGACAGAGAGACAGAGGGGGGAGGGGGAGAGAGAGAGAGGGAGAGAAAGAGAGACTTGTTGTTCCACTCATTTATGTATTCACTGCTTGATTTTTGTATGTGCCCTGACCGGTATTAGAACCCACAGCCTTGCTGTATTGGGACGATGCTCTAATCAACTGAGCTACCCAGCCAGGGCCAAAGTAGGTTTCTTCATCCCAAGCACATTTCTGCAACCAGCCTGGTTCCACATTTGGAAGTAGCCACAATGGTGGGAGTCTGCCAGTGTGCTCTGTGCAGTGCCTCTTCTGCAAGGGCAGCTCCAGACACCCACACCTCACCTCACAAATCTTCCAAAGGCTTCTGAGCCTCCTCTCCACATGACCACCTGCCTGACCTGCTTACTTGCCTCATATTCCCTCTGCACTGCAGCCCAGCTAGCCTGCTGGACCTCCCCGGCACAGCCCACCCCCTAGCCTAGGGCCTCTGACTGGGACATTTGTCCTTGTGGGTCCTAGCCACAGTCTGATGCCCCCTCTGTGTTAGAGTTCTCCAGGGAAACAGAACTAATAGGATGTGTATATAGTAGATAGATGGGTAGATGGACCTAGATCTATCATCTATCGATATCTATCTACCTAGCATCTATCCACAGAGATTTATTTTAAGGAATTAGCACATATAATCATCGGGGCTGGCAGGGCACGTGGCGGGTTGGAGATCCAGGGAAGAACTGATGTTGATATTGATTTCAGAGAGAGGGTGGGAGAGGGAGAGAGATAGAAACTTCAATGATGAGAGAGAATCATTGATTGGCTGCCTCCTGCATGACCCCTATTGGGGATTGAGCCCACAACCTAGGCATCTGCCCTGACTGGGAATAGAGCCCTGATCTCCTGGTTCATGTGTTGACGCTCAACCACTGAGCCACGCTGGCTGGGCCAAAAGATATCTTTTACTCAAATACAGTTAACCCTTTAAACAGTGCTGGGCTCACCCTTTTCCGTCCTGCTTGCGGTGAGGTTCTGTGGTTTTCTCTGACCCTTAAGCCTGTGCCCTTTCTTTGTCTCCATGACTCCCACAGAGCCCTCCACCCCTTTTCCTGACATGCTGATTGTTCTCTTCTACTGATGGCATTCATTTGGGATAATGGAAAAAGTCATGGGTGTGTGAGTCAGGTCCGGGTTCTAGTGTAGACAGCTCCTTTCCTTGTAGGTGATACTGAAAAGGTCACTTTCGTCTACTCCTTGTGAAATGGTGATGTGTGCCCACCTCTTTTTAAAAATTTTATTATTTTTATTGGGGTGACATTGGTTAATTAAATTACATAGATTTCAAGTGTATAATTCTACAGCACATCATCTGTATATTGTACTGTATGTTCACCACCCAAAGTCAAGCCTCCTTCTGTCACCCTTTATCCTCCCTTTACCCTCTTCTAAAAAAAAATATGGAATGCTTCATCAATTCGCATGTCATCTCTGTGCAGAGGCCATGCTAATCTCTGTATCATTCCAGTTTTAGTACATGTGCTGCCAAAGCAAGCACACGTGCCCACCTCTTACCACATGTGCAGTACCCGGCACAGAGTGGGCGCTTCATTAACTTGACTTCCTTTTCTCTCCAAGACCAGGTGCTACCTCCTCCCCTCACATTGGCCCCTCTCCCCAGCTGGGAACGTGGATTGGAAGACTCCATGTTGGTGCGTTAGTGAGGATTCTCCTGAGAAACAGAACCAATAGGATATGTATTTATAGAGAGAGATGTGGGACCTGGAAAGTCTGAAATCCACAGGCGAAGCTGGCAGACTGGAAATTCCAGCAAGAGTTGATATTACAGTCAAGACTGAGGGCAGTCTGAGGTAGAATTCCTTCCTACTCATGGGAACCTCAGTCTTTTCGACTTATTGGATGAGGCTCACCGCATAATGGAGGGCAATCTGTTTTTTTTTTTTAAAGATATATTTTATTGATTTTTTATAGAGAGGAAGGGAGAGGGATAGAGAGTCAGAAATATCGATGAGAAACATCGATCAGCTGCCTCCTGCATACCCCCTACTGGGGATGTGCCCGAAACCAAGATACATGCCCTTGACTGGAATCGAACCTGGGACCCTTCAGTCCGCAGGCTGATGCTCCATCCACTGAGCCAAACCGGTCAGGGCAAATCTGTTTTACTAAAGTCTACTGACTTCAATGTTAATCACATCTAAAAATACTTCACAGCAACATCCAGACTGATGCTTGACCAAACTGAGTACCATAGCCTGGCCAAGCTGACACATAAAATGAAATTTCACACCTGCCTTCAAGGTTCACCTTTGATGTTGATGGCTTACAATGGCTGGCACTCGTGAGTGTTTGCTGCAGACCAGGTACTGTGCTAAGTGCTTTCTTTGACTTGTTTGATTTAATCCTCATAACAGTTACATGAAACAGTTTCTATTTTGAATCTCAGTTTATAGAGAAGAGAGCTTAAGTTGAGAGAAGTTAAGTAACTAGCCCAAGGCTGCACAGCAAGCTGTGGAGCTGGGGTTTGAAGCCAGGCAGTCCCAATGCAGAGCCCGCTGGTGTAGCCTCACACAATGCTGCTGCCTCTTCTAGAATCTTAAAGAGACTCTGCCTCCTTCCCTGGGCCCTACTGGGGCTTGCAGGTCTCCGAGGCATTTTCTGTCTTCTGCCCCTGTGTTGTCCCCATACCTGCTTGTTGGGAGCAGGTAGAGGGTTTGTTGAATAACTGAAGTCCAGAATTGTATGCGGTCCAGTGTCTCTGACTTCCACCTTGTGCCAGTGAGGAAGGAGACCGGCCAGATTTCTGCCATGTCCCTGTCCTAGCAGCCAGGGCACTCCTGCATGGCCACCTTTCCTGGCTGGGCACTGGTGGGACCACACCTCCTGCAAATGGCACTGTGACCACAGGACTCAGCTGATAAGGAGTCAGGAGGAAGCCCAGCTCTGGGCTCTGGAGTCAAATGAGGTTAGTCCCTTGTAGGGCATGGTGGCCTGCCTGCAGCAGATGCACTTAACACAACTTCCGCCTTCTTGGAATACTTGAGCGGCCCAGGAATGTGATTTTAGGCTGTCTTGGCAACACTGCCTTGACCCTTTAGGATTAATGTTCTTACCCAACCTCCCTGAATCTCAGGAACCACTGATTTTGCCTGCCCGGCTCAGTGCTGTGCTCACTCACTGCCCTGGGAACCGGCAGGCTGGCCCTGTTTCCTGATTCCTGGATGATGGGCTTCCTGGCCTTGGCCCCGTTACCTGCCTGCTCAAGGCCTGTCCTGTCCTAGGTTGTTGCAGGAGCAGTAACCACCACACACCTGTCCCCACCGATGAACAGGTTGACACTCTAGGCCTAAACCTGCCTCCTTCCTCTAGCAGTGGTTCTCAACCTTCTGGCCCTTTAAATACAGTTCCTCATGTTGTGACCCAACCATAAAATTATTTTCGTTGCTACTTCATAACTGTAATGTTGCTACTTTTATGAATCATAATGTAAATATCTGATATGCAGGGTGGTCTCTTAGGCGACCCCTGTGAAAGGGTCGTTCGACTGCCAAAGGGGTCGCGACCCACAGGTTGAGAACCGCTGCTCTAGTGGGTTGAATAGTGTCTCCTCAAAAGATATTCCAACTCCTGATCCCTGGTACCTGTGAATGTGACCTTACGTGGAAAAGGGGTCTTTGTAGACATGATTAACCTAATATCTTGAGATGAGAACATCCTGGATTGCCTGGGTGGGCCCTAAATCCAATGACAGCTGTCCTGATAAGAACCAGGCAGCCCGGCTCGTGTGGCTCAGTGAGCATTGACCTATGAACCAGGATGAACCAGGAGGCCATGGTTCAATTCCCTGTAAGGGCACATGCCCGGGTTGTGGGCTTGATCCCCAGTAGGGGGCGTGCAGGAGGCAGCTGATCAATGATTCTCACTCAGCATTGATGTTTCTAACTATCTCTCCCTCTCCCCTCCTCTCTGAAATAGATAAAAATATATTTAAAAAAAGAGAAGAGAATGAGGCAGGGGGAGATTAGAGATCCTGAGATAGAGGAGGCCATGTGAGGATGGAGGCAGAGATTGAAGCCATGCAGGCCCCCAGCTAAGGACTGCCAGGAGCCCCCAGAAGCTGTAAGAGACAAGGAAGGATCCTCCCCTAGAGCCTTCAGAGGGAGCAGGCCCTGCTGACACCTTGACCTTGGACTTCTGGCCTCTAGAACTGTGAGACAATAAATTTCTGTTGTCTTAAGCCACAAAATTTGTGATAATTTTTACAGCGCAACAGCAAAGTAACACATCCCCTAATTATGGGTGTGGAATCCAGGATGCAAGACCGGCCCTACCTTTGGATTGAGAGCCTGACTCTGACCAGCCTGGTGGCCTGGGCTGTGCAGCCCCTTGTATGTACCAGGGACCCAATGCCAATGAGGGAGGGACTGGACGGAACAGGAGTAAATTGAGTGCAGCTGAGTTAAAAGGTGGCATTCAGGGACTCACCTGAGTTCAAATATTCCCTATAGTATTTGTTAGCTCAACTTTGGTTTCCTCAGAAGATAGAGACCATAGTGGGAGTTATTACTATTGGGGTGGAACAGAGAGAATCACAGGCTGGGAAACCAGGGATTCTAGAGTACTTCTGCCATGGACTGGCTCTGTGACCTCCGATGCCTGCCTCTGTATGAGGGGTCCAGTGTGGCCTGTCCCCACACTTCACAGCACTGTTGTGAGAATCAAAGGAAGGCGTATAGGTATAAGACTCTTGCAAACTGTAAAGTATTTCACAAACTCAAGATATTTGTATTATGATTTATAGGGTGATTATCTGTCCCAATGCATTTATACTGCCGTGTGCGTTTGAATGTGCCTTTGTGTAACTCAATGGGGGTGGGAGGAGGTGGTTTCCAAGCTACTTAACTCAAAGGGAATCATGATTGTCACCCCAGGTGACTTCTGATAGCACAAGCCCTCACTGAACTTTCATGTGAGGCCAGTGAGGCTTTTCGAGAGCTTTTGCTGAGTTTGTATGGATACATTCTGATTTGTGCTGTGTCTGGCGGAAGATCTGTGCACATCACAGATAGAGAGGAAACCCTACAGGTCTGGCAGCAGCCTGAGTTGGATGGTTGGAGAAGGCTGTTACATCTGTCCCGTGTCTGGCACCTTTATGCTTCCTGGGGGTGGAGGAGAAGAGACCCAGGACTCTCCAGTGACTCCCCTCCAGTTCTTGGCATTGTGAGAACGTAATTATCTTCCTTTGTATATGATTATGCACCCAGGGCCTAATGCACAGTGCCTGGCACAGGGTCCCCAATCTCAGGGTTTATGGAATGACTCATGCTCTAACCTGGAGATGAAGGAAGCTCTGGCCGTTTATAGGTTTCAACAGCTGGGAATGTAGCCCAACTACTTCCAGAAAACATACAAGAGAGAGGGTGTGGGGTGTATCATTACCTGTGTCTAAAAATCTGATGACTAATTAATATGTAAATGCTAAGTCACTACAAATGACAGGTGGACTGAAATGATTTGGGGAGGGGAGTTAAAGTGTAGACAGGCCATCTCTCAGATTACTGAGGAAAACCATGAAATGGGGCGTTCAGGGTTGCATTAAGAGCAGTCTCCAAGGACTTCCTGTCCAGCTCAGTTGGGAAGTAGAAGACAGTGGGATACATGAAGGACCACCACAAGGCTTACAAAGGGTGGTGCTGGGGCCATGGGGAGTGTTGTGGCTGTAGGAGTCTGATCCGGTTTTGAATCTGAGCTCTGTCCCTAGCCTTTATGTGACTTTGGCCACCTCACTCTTCAACCTCCAGTTTCACATCTCTAAAACAGGGACAATAATATCTCCCTCAGAGGGTTGTGGTAAGGACCAACTAGATCACAGCGAAAGTGTCCAGTGGTTTACTATTACTACACTTACTGGCGTGGGCAATGCCCTTTTCTGAACCTTAGTTTCTTCATCGGTAAAAATGGAATACGTGAGAGTACCTGGCTCACAGCTGATGTTCAATAAAAGTTTGTTTTTTATTTTTAACTTTAAAAAAATTTTTGAAACAGTTTTAGACTTAAAGTTGAAAAAACACTAGCAAGTTTCCCTTATACTTTATAACTAAGCTTCCCTAATGTTAACATCATACGTAATCACAGTACAATGGTCAAAAACCAGGAAATTAACATTGGCACAATGCTATTAACTAAACTTCAGACCTTATTCCTTTGTCCTTTTCTGTTCCAAGTTCCAAATCAGGATCCTGTACTCCATTTAGTTGTTGTATTCCTTAATTTTCTTCAAATTGTGACAGTTCTCAGTCTTTGTCTTTCATGACCTTGACATTCTTGGTGAGTACTGGTCAATTACTTGGAAGAAATATTTCTCAACTTTGGTTCGCTTGATGTTTTCTTATGATTAGATTGAGGTTGTGAACTTTACGCAGAAATACCACAGCAATGATGTATTTTTTGTTTTGTTTTTTTCCTTTATTGCAATAAATACACATAACATGAAAACTTACCATTTAGACCAGTGGTTCTCAACCTTCCTAATGCCGT